TCCCTAAAATGTATAAGTAAATATGACTAGATCATTATTAATGCGTAGATAACTGGGGGACATTACACACCCACCAGTGGTGGTTTCAAAAAAAATTGGAACCTCTTCTGTAGGTGTGGCCTGCTTTCCGGGTCCACTGGTGGAACCTCTTCTAACTGGTTTGGTAGATTTGACGAACCGGTCCTACCGAATAGGTGCGAACTGGTAGGAACCCACCTCTGCAGCAGTCACCTATGTTTAATTCAAGTGGTTATGCATAGATTATGATTATGTAAGTAGAGAAAACATGCAGTTTCTCATCTACTAAATGAATCTTATTTCTGTCTAAAACTACTTGGTTTTATTTCGAAAAGAAGACTTGTGTCTTATAGTATTACAATGCTTTGTGGCACTTTGTTAAAACAACCCTTATCCTGGCCTTCTAGACAGTGGCCACTTGAATTGCTGTCAAGATCATATAACAGATGTTACATTTCAGTAGTACAAAAATGCCTAGGGAGTAGCAGTAAAGTAACTAGCTGCACTTTGATTTATGGTTTGTGAACCCATGTAAACAAAGGTTTGGGGTTTAAAATGATATGTGAATCTAGCCAATTATAGATAATTCAGCAGCTTAATAAACTTTGCAATATTTATGTTTTTATGTTTAAACTTGGAGGGGGAAGGAATTATAGGTGTATTTAATGGTTTGATATGTGTGTCTGTTTCTCTATTAGCTTGTGTATTATCATGGATGGTCTGAATGTGATTTCCCCTCCCTCACCCCCCACGCTCAGTCTTATGCAACCTTCAGGTAAAACAAAAGCTAAAATAAATGCGTCAGGTACTATGCTGCTCCAAGTGCCAAACAAATATCTCTGCTTCATTAATTCACTGGGTGCTGAACACTAAATTATGTTCAGAAGCTTAACTGGCCTTTTCCCACCTTTTTTTATTCCATGTTGCCTTAGTTTAGGAGTTGCCTTAGTTTAGGCTATTAAAAGTACCTGTAAATACTTTTAATAGCCAAATTAATATGCATGTGTGATTTAAAACAGATGGATGTTACTGGCTTTACTGTCCTATGTATATGTTCCATTGTAGGATCAAGATGAGCAAAAAATGTTTTTTTCCCATGTTTTGAATGCCATTGTCCCATATAGAGAGCCACATTGTGCTTTGATCAATGAATAAGGGTAGAAATGGCAGACAGCTCTCTGAAACACAGATTGCAAACAAGAAGACAACACAACAGCCAAAAGATCCAAATCCAGATCCAGATCCAAAAAGATCTTGAAAGACTTGAAAAGTGGGCCCTCTCTAACAAAATGAAAGCCAATGTAGAGAAAAGTAAGGTTTTACACTTAGGTAAGAAAACCCAAAAGTACAGGTACAAACTAGGTAAACTTGACTCAACAGCAGTAACTGTGAAAGGGATCTTGGAGTCAGAGTGGACAATCCCTTAAATATGACCCAGGAGTGTGCAGTAGCAGCCAAGAAAGCCAATATAATCCTAGGCTGCATTAATAGACCACATGAAGTTCTAGTACCTCTTACAAAGCCTTAGTAAGACCATGCTTGGAATACTGCATCAAGTTCTAGTCATCACAATATAGAAAAAAGATGTTGAGGCTCTGGAAGAGTGCAGAGAAGATCAGTTAAGATGATTAGAGGGCTGTAGGCTAAAACATACAAAATGGTTACAGAAATTGGGTATGTCTAATCTAATGAAGAGAGGAACGAGGGGAGTCATGGTAGCAGTGTTCCACTATTTGAGGGGCTACCACAGTGGTGGGTTTCAAAAATTTTTGGAACCTCTTCTGTAGGTGTGACCTGCTTTCCGGGTCCACTGGTGGAATCTCTTCTAACTGGTTCGGTAGATTTGACAAACCGGTTCTACCGAATAGGTGCGAACTGGTAGGAACCCACCTCTGGGCTACCACAAAGGTAAAGGGGCCAACCAATTTTCCAAAGCATCAAAAGGCAAGGCAAAACCAATGGATGGAAACTAAGCAAGGTGAGAAGAAACCTAGAACTAAGGAGAATTTTCCTAACAGTGGTAACACTTAACCAGTGGAACAGCTTGCCTTCCAAAAATGTGGGTGCTCCATCACTGGAGGCTTTCAAAAAGAGAGTTGATAACCATTTGTCTGAAATGGTATATGGTTTGCTGCTCGAGCAAGCAGTTGGACTAGAAGGTCCCTTCTAACTTCTATGTTCTAGAAACTATATTGAATGTTCAGAGTAACCCTCTCTTGACTGCAGCACAAGGAAACTCTGGTCTCGCTCATTCCAAGAAAAATAAAAAGCCTTACTTGATTTTTCCTATTTCTACTTTTAAAAAACCTTTGATTTTTGAGCAGAGGCATTTGACGCACCACATTCCATGTCCACAGTGACATTGGCTTGTCTTCTTCCAATTCCAACATCTGTACTGATACGCTTTTTCTTGTCTTACAGCCAACTGTTTCTCAGCCATTTATCTCTCTTGACCTCCATCATCTCACAACACACTAATGGCTCTCCGTTACTTCCTCATCAAATGGAATGCCACACCCAGAACACCATACAACAAGTTGCTTCTGAGATGCAGCTTCGTATCTTGAAGGATAAATATGACTGGAAACCCCCGACTCTCAGTTTTCTTCCCAGGTAAACATCTTTAACCTACAAAACAATCTGTAGGAAAAGCCCTTGCTTGCTTGCTTGCTTGCTTGCTTGCTTGCTTGCTTGCTTGCTTGCTTGCTTGCTTGCTTGTCTGTCTGTCAAATTTATTTGCTGTCCATCACGTGGTTCAAGGTGACTCTGAGCAAGCTTACTTATCAAACCACCGTATTCACTACAATCATGAAAACACACAATTCAGCAGGTCAACTCCTGATGTTTGACTGTGTTATACAGTTCCAGATGGGATACTTTCAAGGCAGATACATCTCATGAGTATCTCCTGAATTTTTAAGAACTTTAGACTGGTTGACTCATTAATATAAAAGCCCTAATAAATGCATTTCATGTTGAAGCTGAATTAAAGTGCATTCTTTGTTCTTTCCATTGCTCAAGGCAATACTCATTTTTAAATCTTGTCAGTCTCAGAAATAATACATTTAATAAAACTCAAGGGCTTTCAGCTCCTTAAAAAAAAAAAACCACCTTGCTGTCACAAAAGGCACAGCTTTAGCACTTTGCAGCTAGTTGATCAGGATTGGGGGGTTGGGGTAGCGGAGGGGCCCACCATTCTTTTTGGGGGGATCTTAAGCCTTGCCTTTCAGAGCCAAACAAAAGACAGGACTTTCCATCACTTCCCTGCCTTGTTTGCATATGGGACAGAGATGGGCAAAATAGCAAAAGCGCAAACAGCTGCAAATGGGAGGAGGAAACCAGTAGCTGGAGAGTGAGGGTGGGGGGTGGCATATATTTATTCTTCCTGGACTGACTCGGGAAGGAAGTTTGGATCGTTGCTGGGGGGGGGGGGGATCTCCAGTTCCACCCAGGTTTTCCTTCCTGTTGTTTGCTTAGGGAATCGTAGGGGGAGTGATAAAAGGAAGAGGCAGGGCAGGGGGGGACCTGGGGAGGAAGGCACTGACCACAACGTGCCCAACCAGTAGCCTTGCCTCCCGCGGTCATTAACCTTGCTGGGAAAGGCAGGGAAAGCTCCACGGCAAGGCTTGCCATTCAGAGAATGTGAGCCACGCCAGAAAGACCCACTGCAGACACGTTTCCGGCAAGCGGCTCCTTCGCGGCGAAGTGGGATTAAAAGAACGCGGGTCTCCCTTGCGTTGCGCCCATCCGCCGAGATGAGATTCCCGCAGCTCCTTTTGAGCTGGGTTTTGCTGTTGACTGGGTTGCTTCTGGTCCATGGACAGAGGCCAGGTAAGTCTTGCGCGGGGTGTGTGTGTGTGTGTTTCTTGCCTGGCTCTCCCCGGTCAACGGGAGAATAAGCTGAGACTGTAGTCAGTGCTCCTTCTGCGCTCCGGCACAGCGCCTACTGTCCGCTTCTGCTGGCTGGACGGTGGCAAATTTAGAAACCGTCCCGAGCACATCGGCCACCACCTCTGATACCTTCCGCGCGTACCTGCCTGGCGGGGTTTAACTACCAGAGGTTAGATTTGCTTAGCCTGGTTAATTTTGTGTCTCTATCGAAATAAATTCACACCAGAACTGGAAACGGTAGGGTTTACATCCTCTGCTCATCTTTAAGCTCGGCTGCTATCTTATTAAAATAGAGCTTTTAAGAAAACAGTTACGTTAATGGCAATCTACATAAGCGATTTTCTGCCCAGAACCCTTAAGGGGAACCTATATAAATTTTCATGTTTTTTTTTAAAGTGCATGCAAATCTATATCCGAAGTCCCTGATGTTTTGCGAGCTTTCTAACATTGATTAGAAATTACCTAGATAATATCTTCAGATAATCTCTCCCAGGATTGCTTCCTAGGGTGACTTAATCCTATTAGGCTGGCCAATATCACAGTGAGACCTGTCTTGATTTGAGCCTTTTATTTTATATTTGATTTTGCTTTTTTCAAATTCACGGACACTGTCTTGATTTCTATTGCTCTCATCTCATCCAAGCAATTAAAAAAAAAACAGAAAAGGTAACATGGTTCAGATATATGGATTGTCTGACAGAATAACAGCTCTCTAGCCCTGGGATGATTTCCCAGCTTAAAAAAAAAAAATCAACAGTCAATTGACTTTTCAGAAGGGAGTGTAACAATCCTACAGCACTGAGTCTAGGCAGGGTCTCATAAACTCTAAATAAAACAGTTTGAAGTTGCACCCTTGAGGCTGCAGGGAGACACGACTCCTTTAATGCCAGCTGGTGATAACTTACATTTCCAGTTCTCTTTGGCTGAAAGAGAAAACAGCAACAAGGCTGGAACTGGGAGTCGGGAAGGGATATTTAGCTATTATCCCGCCCCCCAATTTCATGCACACATTAAAAGCATTGCAGGTGAACCAAGTTCGTTTTATTTTTCTACAGAAAAAAGCAGAGCCAGGTATGCATAATCTTCTTCTAAAATAGTTCTCCATAGATCTGATGATGAAGTGGTCTGTGCTCCACAAAATTATTAGGTAGCAGTAGGTGTAAATGATTATGGGATTTCACAAAACTTTTCCGTGTTTTTCAAAGGAGCATATGATCTATAAATCATTGGGTAGTCTGATTCAGCAAAGCAGTTCCCTTAATGGGTAAGAGGAGAGAAAAGAGCCCATTAGTCAGTCAGTCAGTCAGTCTGTCTGTCTGTCTGTCTCTGTGTGTGTGTGTGTGTGTGTACAGAGAGAGAGAAAATGTAGATACAATTACAGATAATAGACAAACATTCACCTGGCACCTATATCACTGCATCTGTAACTGTCCAGGGGTTTGAAGAATTATAACAGTGGCTCTATTGCTGTCCTCAGAATGTGATTTAAAAAACCAGTAAGATCACAATAGAAGTAGCACTTAGACTTATATACTGCTTCACAGTGCTTTAGAGCCCTCTCTAAGCGTTTACAGAATCAGCAAATTGCCTCTAAAAATCTGGGTCCTCATTTTATCCACCTCGGAAGGCTGAGTCAACCTTGACTTGGTGAGATTTGAACTGCCAAATTGCAGGCAGCCGGCATTCAGCAGAAATAGCCTGCAGTACTGCACTCTAACCACCGTGCCACCGTTGCTCAGGATGGCAGCCACAAAAGTGCAATAGAAGCTGTGCCTATTTTTTTAAGGGCATCATGGACCCTGCAGATACTCTGGATACAGGGAAAACCTACGAAGACCAGAACAGCAAATGTGGCGTGGATTCATATTCTACAGCAGGATTGTCAAAC